TTATATATATATATATATATATATATTTTTTTTTTTAAGTTTGCAGAGTACTATTTATGTTTTTGAATATGTAGGTTTCATAAATTTGGACTATTTTGGGGCAGCCATGAGTTATAAGTTCAAAGGAAGTGAATTAAATCAACTGATTTCAATTAGAGTTGATACCAATAATTCTCAGATTACATGTTCTAATAAATTTAATATGAACAAGAAGGTGGCTAGCCACACACCGAATCCAATACAGACTGGAAAAGTCTACAAAAGCTTTTTTTTTTTTATAAATTGCATTGTGCAAAAAGTGCAGAGTGCATGCGAGTTAAAAACAAATGGACACGAGCAAGCAGATGTTTCAGCCTGCTTAGCCATAATTAAATTTATTCAAATAAAAGTTTTCATTCATATTTTAAAAAAGTGAATTTTTCGATTTTTGAATTAATAAAAATGGGTAAATGTAGCAATAACATGGTAATAACACAGTAACATTTAAAACTGAATCTTGTGCATTCACTCATTATTTAAAACTTATTGATTATCTACGATACCAAATTTACACCCTACATTTTTATTTATTTTTAATAATCCGGTTCACTTTTGATATACATCACAATAAGTAGAAAAAATGTTGTTGTTACTACTGTTTCATTGTAACTTTAAAGCATTTTAAAGTTACAATGAATTATCATAGACGTCAAAGGTTTATAATACTAGTGAAGGTTTTTTCCCTCCCTCTTTCTGATACTTTGCAGGCTGATTTTTGGTGCTGAGCCATTAAGACTCTTATGTAACTGTGCTTTGTGCTATTGTGTATGTGACCAATTTGACCCTTTGAAAATCATAGCATTAGTAATTAGATTGCACATCATTGCTATATTTGTTTTAGGAAGTCATGTAGTTAAATGTTCAGTGACAGAAAACAGGCACATTCATGTTGAGCTCTAACCAAACCAATAAAACGCTATATGCAAATCCCTGATGTTTGGGAATTTGACTCTGAATGTGTGTGTGTGTCTGTGTGTGTGTGTGTGTGTGTGTGCGTGTGTCATCAGGACAGGAAGCCGTGACCGTTTGTTGACTCAGTATGGTATGTTTACAGCACTGTGTCTATAAGAGGCTTTCAGTAAGCTTGATGCAGGCAGAGCGAGTCAGGAGGCATGTGACTGTACGGATGCCAGAGGTTGGTGAGGTTATACGTTTGTGAACAGAACACAGATGTAATCCAGCGCAACAGGCCAAATGAGGATACAATAGAGGTTACTAATCTGTGCGATCAGGCTTCCCTTTTCTTCTGTGAGTGTGAATTTAACACTTTATGACCTCAAGCGGAACTTCAAGGTCTTGAATAGTGATGCATTGAAATTTTTACTGAAACGAAAAGTTTTTATTTAGCTGAAACTTAAACTGAACCTAAAGTATTTTTCAAATAATTAACTAATTCATTAAAATGACTTAATCAACACTCAAGTAAAAACTGAGTCGTATATTAACATTTAAATTGCACATAATTATTATTATTATATTCAATTATAATATAATTATATGAATATAATTATATTTCCACTCCAATTTCTTGAAATACAAAGTGTCTGAAATAACAACTTGCTTTCATGATAGATTTATTCAAATGCACATTAATGCAATACATTAAAATAAAAATAAAAAAGTAAAAATATAATGAATATGTAGCATAGTGCAT